TAGGAGGTAGTGGCTGCAGTCCACTAGAGGCCGCTGTGTAGATTTTTTGAGATTTCAAATTTCTCTCGCAAGTGCCATTCACGCCTGCTCTTCTCGCAGAAATGCACAGAGACAGCTGTCAGCTGACTGACCAATTGACCGACTGACTGACCCACCTTCCTTCTTCACTAAACCCAACCAATAGTGTTTTCAAAAGCATCAATTGACCTGTCCACCCACTTTCCTAAACCCAACTGATAGTTTTAATAAGCAATCCAGAAAAAAGGCCCCTCATTTTTACCATGTTTTCAGATTTTACCACATTATTACCTTGTTATTTACTTGCTTATTTAATTTTTTGGCCTTTTTTTGGCGTTTTTGTCTTATCCTCTTTCTGTAACTGTTCTTCACCAGACTTGAACCGTTGTTGTGGTCAAGTTCCTCTCTGCGTCTCAACTCTGCCAACGTACATGGCGAGCAACTGGACAAACTAGTAACAATGGGAAAGTGGTCCAGCTGGTGGACACGAAAAGGAAAAATATGTTAGTTTTAAAGAGGAAATGCAGCCAAATGTACCTCTGGCTACATAAAATTATATAGGGTTACGTTTTCAGAATGAGCCTATATTGAGAATTTGTTCAGTTGTTTTAAATCAGGGGTTTCCAAACTTTTCAGCCCGTGACCCCCAAAATAACAATGCTTGTGATTTGCAACCCCCACTGTTTTTGGAAGTGGTTATAATCAGACAAACTTTGCACGAAACGGCTCACACACCAAATAGGCCTATATAAACACGAGAATATTAACAATACAAAAACCTGCAACAGTATAACAACCATATCATAATTTTTTCTTTGTAGGCACAATGTTTAAGTTACTCCAGACTTCTTTTCTTGGTTTATTTTTGGAGACCACTACTTGGAGATCATCCTCCATGTTCAGTTGTGGCCTGTATTTATCTTAAATATATGTGAGTGCCATAAAGATGTCAGAAAGTTTAGGCTTGTGCTGTAAAATCAATCTGCTGCAACTGACGCAGTGTCATTAAAGTTTTTCTCAATTGCTAAAACACTAAACCCTCTGAACCAAATGCTTAGTTGCCTGAACTCATTAAATCAATCACTCTTTTATCAGAACTATACGCAATTTTCACCTGTTTAGACACAGCTTGCCAACACATTTTCATTGTGATGCACCAGTGCTGCATAATGGTGAGTAAAGGTGACAAAAGTCAAACACAATTAAAGCACAGGTGTCACCACTTGAACACAACAACTCAAAATTGATCACACTTGTGGCGAATGATGTGAGGGAACATCTGCAGTAAGTCAGTTCAGAGAGCACCGGTTTGTGAGACCCTACAATAGATAGAAATCTGAGAAGAAGAGTTCATGTGAGAGGAGGTTGAGGTGGTCAAGGTGGTCAGCAAAGACAAAGAACAGTAATATCTGATGAAATCAGAGCTACCAGGTATGAGCATGAGGGAGGCTGGACAAAGGATTTATGGATATAAGATTTCTTTTTGTTTTTATAAGTGCTACCTGTAAATGCACAAGATATCTGTTTTGTATTTTTATACAAGTGGTTATACAAAGGTTTTTGTTGTTTTACAACAAACATATTGCCTAAACTTGTATTTGTCCAGCTTCAGGTCCTGAGCATTGTGTTTTCTATTTTTCTACGTAGTGTTTAGTGACTGTTCAGTAGTGTTTTTAATTTTGATTGACTTGAGGCAGGGCAGTGGGTAGCACAATCACCTCACAGCAAGAAGGTTGCTGGTTAGAGCCTCGGCTGGGTCGGTTTGAATTACTGTGTGGAGTTTGCATGCTCTCCCCGTGTTGGCATGGGTTTCCTCCGGGTGCTCAGGTTTCCCCCACAAGTCCTAAAACATACACTATAGGTAAATTGGGTAGGCTAAATTGTTTGTAGTGTATGTGTGTGAATGAGAGTGTATGGATGTTTCTCAGTGATGGGTTGTAGCTGGAAGGGCATTCGCTGTGTAAAACATATGCTGAATAAGTTGGTGGTTCATTCCTCTGTGGCGACCTCAGATTAATAAAGGGACTAAGCCGAAAATAAAACGAATAAATGAATAACTTAAGGCATGATTGAACAACATAGTTCAGTTTTGAAATTGAATTGTTTTGAGGTGAAAGTTTGGTTCCGGGGGCGAAGCAGTGGCGCAGTGGGTAGCACGTTCGCCTCACAGCAAGAGGGTCGCTGGGTTGCTGGTTCGATCCTTGGCTCAGTTGGCGTTTCTGTATGGAGTTTGCATGTTCTCCCTGCGTTTGTGTGGATTTCCTCCGGGTACTCAGGTTTCCCCCACAGTCCAAAGACATGCGGTACAGGTGAATTGGGTAGGCTAAATTGTCCGTAGTGTATGAGTGTGTGTGTATGTGTGGATGTTTCCCAGAGATGGGTTGCAGCTGGAAGGGCATCCGCTGCGTAAAAACTTGCTGGATAAGTTGGCGGTTCATTCCGCTGTGGCGACCCCAGATTAATAAAGGGAATAAGCCGACAAGAAAATGGACGAATGAATGAGTTTGGTTCTGCTAAAAGACTGAGGTTTCACAATTTACAGAAAAGGAGAGCAGCTTTCAAGAAATGTGTCTTAGCAATCGAGAAAAACTGTAATCTTACGTAAAAACCCCAGAGGGATTGCAATCCTAATAAAAATAAAAGTTGAACAGCTGATGAATTTTTACTTGCATGTTGTATTTTTAATGTGACAATTTTAATATTTTATATGTTATGAATTAAAAATGGTAATTTTAAAAGTTGATTGAAATGTATTATATTTTTGGAAATCACCAAGCGACCCCCTCTCATTGTCTCGCAACTCCGACCCCCACTTTGGGAACCACTGTTTTAAACTATACTTCCAATTCTATTGATGGAACTCTGAAGTAATGTAAAAAATAACAAACATCACCCCCTTTTCTTTAAAAAAAGAGCTTTTTAGTTTGTGTTTCATATTTTTTGTGATAAAAGAGATGCAACTGAATGTGAAAATGAGGGCTAAGAATCTAAATCTCCTATGACAATTGAGAAAAGATAATATCACGTAAAATGTGAACAGTCCAATGCTGATAACAAAGCCATTAACTCTTTAAAATATTTTAATCTTTCATTTATTATGACATATTTATCAAATCAGCATACAATTATATCATTATAGCATTGTTGGTTCCTATTAAACAAATTCAGAACCTTTAAGATATAGCAAATCTGGTGTTAGTTTAACTAAAAAACGTTCCGCCAATTCAAAAAACTCTAAATTCAATGTAAATAAATTCAATGTATGACTTTCGTTGATGAACACAATTGTAAATTGTTTTAGACACACTCTGAAGTGTGTTGTGTGCATAATACAGTGTAATACATCATATCAAAATCAAATATCCCATCTGTATCCCACAGTAGAATTGAAGCAGGATTTTAACAAAACAAGGGTGATAAACAATCCCTTTAAGTCTTAAGCTGCAGGGTTCACTAATCTTTACTGAAAAACAATGCCGCTGCTTAACCAGTCTTCACTCAACTAATAGTTAGATTTCTCCCAGCAAAAGTCACAGCTTTAAACACTCAAACGCAGCAACAGGAGGGTCTAATGGGCCTTTTGTTCGGGGCTGTTGGTCATTGCAGTTAATGACTTCAGTAAACTCTACAACTATATTCCAAAGGGAGTAAACCAGTCCAACGCACCATAACTCTAAGCTCCGCAGAGCCTTCGGGACGAAACAGGAAAACAGCAGGCCGCCATCACTCCCCATACAGGAGGCCCAGAGCGAACACATCAAGGGGAGTGATCCTGAAAACACTGGCTCGGCCAATTAAACAGCCGCCTCGCTCAGCAGTATAATCATGTTTGCATCCGCACACTAGCAGCCTCCTTAAATTTGGCCCTACAGGAGGAGCTGAGGGCTTCTGGGTCCTCCAGTCCAGGGGTTCACAACCTAGAGGTCAACAACCCTACTAGGGGTCACCAAAGATTTATGAGGGGTCACTCTTGTTTGAAGATAAAAATGAAACAGATAGCAGTTTAATAATGAAACAAATTATTGATAAATGTTACCATTTGAATCATTAAAAGTGTATTTAAATACAGCTACTTACAAAATCTAAGGTGCAAGATTTTTTTTGTCCGCTGTTTTTTTTGTTGTGGTGGTCGTGGGGGGTTATTAAGGAGTTTAAATGTTAAAATAGGGGTCTCTAGGAAAAAAAATAAGTTGGATTCACTGCTCCAGTCCATTGGGCCAATTGAAATTTATGGCACAAAAGGCGGCAGGTCGTCTCTGTCTCCTCTCAATGTACTGAACATTTTGGCTAGAAATGCCTGGCCCAGAGTCCCTCAGCAGTCAACCACACACTCTCCGAATGCGAATGCAACCCCCCATTGCTCCAACCGGCCTCATAACAGCTACATGCCTGTACACCTCATTTTCTCTCTCCTTCTATCCAAGGAAGAAGCTGTATATTAATTTCCTTGCCTGTCAGGTCTCCACTATGTGGGTAAAAGTACGATCACGGTATTAAATTACGGCCTACATAAACAACAGCAGGTATTGTGTGACAGACGACAAGAAGCCATCCTTTGTTTCCAAGCTTTGATAATGCAATGGCATATGCTCCAACAAATGCTAACAAGTCATAAATTCCCATCAGCACAATGCCCTCTTGTGTTGTTTCAGTTAATGTCACGTACTTCAAACCAAGCATGCATTGCTAGTTTTCATCAAATATGACTCCTGAGCAGCACAGTTACCTTTTGTCAAGGCATTTATTTGGTTTTTGGACTGCATCTGAAAGCTCATGCTTCATAGTTCCGCTGTTTTCTGATGCCATCTGTCTAGATCTAAGAGAACTAACCCACTGAAAAACTACTGTAGAGCGTGTGCAGCGTTGCAGGATTTGATTAAGCTTGGATGACTGATGTGGCCTATGAATGCTATGGGTGAGCAGAAGTATAAAGGATTGAGATATAAAGCGTTGTGGTGTATGGCGTGGGAGGGAGTCTTTACCAATTACTATGAGTGTGAAGTTGAGGGCGAGGCTGCCAAATCCATTGGTGACGCGGCAGATGTAAACTCCGGCATCCTCCAGCTCCACTTCTTTGATCTTCAGACTTCGCTTCAGGACCTTGTAGCGGCTCCAGCCTGGATTCACATTACGTCCATCCTTCACCCACAGGACCAGTGGAGGAGGGTCACCCTCCACCGGGCAGGGAATTCGAACCGTGCAGCCCAGTTTTGCTGTCTGTCTATTCTCTACAGGACGACTCACCGATGGGGGACCTGGAGAAAAAAGAAAACAATGTCTTGAGTTATGATAGATTATTTGTCTATATCAGCTTAAAGAATAAATGCACAATAATTAAGAAATAAGAATGTAGTAATAATTGTAATAAAATAGCATTATTAATAAACACTAACAATTATTGATTTAGGAAACATATTATTATATATAAATAAGCATTTTCTAATTATTTTTTTCTTTTTAATGGCTCAATAAAATGTATTTTTTTAGTTTAATTGTTGATTTTTCCATTATTAATATAGTGAATGTTTTTGAGGCACATTTTGCTTTTGTGCATAGTTATAATGTAAAAAAACCAATGTTTTGTTGGAAATTTAATTTTATTAGTAATAATAATAACAATAACAATTTGCTAATACAAATAATTTATCATTTAAATGATAGAAACTTAATTTTTTAATTCCTAATATTGTAAATAGCTTTTAAAATATTACTACTTCAATAACTACTACTACTACTACTACTGATAATAAAATAATAAAAATAATAATTTGCTAATATGAATATGATTTTTAATATAATAATACAACTAATAATAATAATTTGCTAATATGAAAATAATTATTTTAAATATACTCTTAGCACCATTATTACCACAGATAATTTGCTAATACGAATGGATTTTTAAAAAATATACAACTACTACTACTACTACTACCAATAATAATAATAGTTTGCTTATATGAATATCATTTTTTAAATATACTACTACTACTACTGCTACTGCTGCTACTACTACTACTACAAATAATTTGCTAATACGAACACACATTTTTAATATACTACTTCTACTACTACTAATAATAATAATATTAATTTGCTAATACAAATATGATTTTTTTCATTGTACTACTACTACTACTAATAATACTGTTTTGTTATCCCAGATTAATAAAGAGACTAAGCTGAAAAAAAAAAATGAATAAATGAATAATACGAATATGAATTTTTAAAATATACTACTACTACTACTAATATGAATACACTTTTAAAAAATATACTACTACTACTACTACTACTACTACTACTACTACTAATAATAATAATAATAATAAAAAGCTCATATGAATATGATTTTTAAAAATATACTACTTGTACTAATAATAATTATATTAATTTGCTAATACGAATACAATTTTTTAAAATATTGCAGCTGTAAGGGCATCCGCTGTTTAAAACATTTGCTGGATAAGGTGGCGGTTTATTCCACTGTGGCGACTCCTGATTAAAAAAGGTACTAAGATAAAAAGAAAATAAATTAATGAATAATTTGCTAATACAAATAAGTTTTTTTAATATACTCTTACTACTACTACTAATAATAATAATAATTAGCTAATACGAATACAGGTTTGTTTAATTTACTCTTACAACAACAACTACTAGTACTACTACTACCACCACCAATAATAATATTAATTTGCTAATCCGAAAACACATTTTTTTAAAAATACTACTAATACTACTACTAATAATACTACTAATAATTTGCTAATATGAATAAAAAATGTATATACTACTACTACAACTAATAATAATAACAACAACAACAACAACAATAATAATCATTTTCCAAGTGATAGGTTGCAGCTGGAAGGGCATCTCCTGGATAAAACATGTGTGAGATAAGTTGGTGGTTCATTCCGCTGTGGCGACCCCAGAGTAATATAGGGATTAAGCCGAAAAGAAAAGGAATAAAAAAATGTATGAATAATAACAACAACAATAATAATAATAATAATAATAATAATAATAATAATAATAGTTGTTGTTATAATTATTATTATTAATTTGCTTGTTTCTTGGTTTGTTACCCATTTGCTTCATTTAACAAACTGCACATATTATGCAATATTCCTCTACCAGGAGAACAAGTTTTCCTCTATTTTCTCCCAGAGTAGTTCTGCTTTCGGGCTAAAAAAAACTAGCAAAATATGTGAAGATTCATGCGTTCTGCAGAATGAAATGTTCTTTCTCCTGCGTGTATTAGGACACAATAAGCACAAAGACAGCACTGCCAAAAAATGTCATGGCCACAAAATCTCTGGCAGGAAGAAAATACTTTCTTCTCCAGCTTCTAATACACCTTGTCCCACAAATATATGTTATGCGGGGAGAAGCCAGGCACAAGAATTTTATGGGGAATTTCTTTCCTTGCACACACAAGGACCTTTTCATCCCTGCTAGCAGCTTTGCGAAGACTCCCATGAGCACTTGCTTTCCATTTCCTCCACACATTGGCGTATGTGTATGTTGGAAGGCACCTCTCATTCATGCCCTTTACTGTCACATCCTGTTGCTGCTGTAAGAACAAGCAAGATTATAAATCGAAAAATGACACTGGCCGTAAATGTACTTTCTTTCTTTCTTTCTTTCTTTCTTTCTTTCTTTCTTTCTTTCTTTCTTTCTTTCTTTCTTTCTTTCTTTCTTTCTTTCTTTCTTTCTTTCTTTCTTTCTTTCTTTCTTTCTTTCTTTCTTTCTTTCTTTCTTTCTTTCTTTCTTTCTTTCTTTCCACCCACTTCCCTTCAAGTCTTTCTGCTGGAGTGAAGTGTTTTCACCTGAAGTTGCTGGTTGCCATCCAGGAAAGTGCCAGGAGAACAAGCGGGAGGGGAAGAAAAAGAAATGGTTGTTTTGGAGCAGGAGTTAAATTACAGTAAATTCCAGAATGTTAAGACTAAGAATGGCAGAAATAAATTCCTCTCTGGAAATAGAGCAGAAAAAAGGTGGAAATAAGCACCAACGGCTGGAGAAAAGGCTACAATATGTTTGATGGATCATGCGCTTAATTCACATACAGTTATGTAAGGTTAAAATTATTAGCTCTCCTGAATTATTTGCCCCCCTTTCCCCACATTTTCTGTTTAACGGAAAGTTTTTATTAAACACATTTCTAAACATTACAGTTTCAATAACTCATTTCTAATAATTGATTTATTTTATCTTTGTCATGATAACAGTAGGGGAGAGCAGGGACAAAAGTAACATTACTTATAATAACCTAATTTTAAATGATAAAGTTTTTAGCAGAAACATATTCATATATAGCAGAATATATTTAGCAGAATTATACTAAATAATACAATATATTATTTTAGACTCACAACAGTGGTCTATCGATACCAGGTGTTGTTTTCAATGTAGAACAACTTCAATAGAACTTTACTGCAAACAAAAGTTGCACATTGTTACTCTTGACTGATGAAAGTAACACAACAATATTTGCTAGACTTTCTGGCTTAATCTTGTTTATTTTAAACACATCTGACTGTGATCTTGTTAATGTTAACTGCAAACATATTTTGTCATTTATTTTTGAAAAAATATTAAACTGCATTTTCATTTTAAATTTCAGCTCCATTAAATGTTTCAAAAGCAATCCAACAATGCAATATGTTAACCTTTTCTACAGTCTTTGAATATTTTATTTATTATTATTGGCAATATGCGTTAAAACATCTGAATCCAAATACTGCAAACTCTAATGTGGAAGTGAAAATTAAGGTTTGTCTATTGTCAATAACAGTGTTACTTTCGTCCCGACAGGAACTCTTCCATTTAAACCTCATTTATTTTTAAACTGAAAAGCCCAGAGATTGCAAACTGAAGGATGCTTAAGGATGCCCTAAATAATCTGTAGATCATGACCTGTGATCATTATTGTGACACATGAAAAGAAACACAACTTGTAATAAGGAAAAAAGCACCGCTTAATTTACTTTTTGCACTTAAAAACAGGAATTTAGAGCTAACTGCTGGACACGGTCTTAGTATCACGTGATGTTCGGCAGCTCCATCAAGGGTTGCATGCAGAATGAGCTATTATAGCCTGAAAAGCAAATGTTGTCAGGGCATTGGGAAAATAGCTTTGTTACTTTCGTTCCCGCTCTGCTCTAAATATTATTTTACAAGATGTTTCTCAAGAATATAGTATTTAGTTTAAAGTGATATTTAAAGACTTAACTAGGTTAATTAGGCAAGTTAGGGTAATTATGCAAATCACTGTATAACGATAGTTTGTTCTGTAGACAATTGGAAAAAATATTGTTAATAATTTTGACCTGAAAATGGTTTAAAAAAAAAAAAATTAAAACTGCTTTCAGTCTAGCCTACATAAAACAAATAAGACTTTCTCCAGAAGAAAAAATATTATCAGACATACTGTGAAAATTTCCGTGGTTAACCTTTCCAAGGTTAATAAACCTTGGGGAGGCTTTGGGAGTTGTTTGTTTGTTAAAAAAAAATGAAGATTCATGTAATTGGTAGGCTCTGTGAGCAAACAATGGATCTTTTCAGTCCCTGCGTGGACCATGTGAGATAGATCTTATGAACCTGGTGGCTGAATGAATGGAAAAGAAGAGGGCAACTCTTGAGTGTCTGCATATTAAAACAACCTGGTGGACTGCTTAGAGCAGAAGCTGAAATATTCCCTTTCCATCCTCAGGTCACGATTTTCACCACGCACATAATAAAGTATGCAAAAGATGTGAATCAGAGATAGAAGGCTTGGGACTGTCATTTGAAATTGCTTCTTTCTATCACCTATTTGTCACACAGTGTCTTAAGCTGAGCAAAAAGCTTTGAAGTGAGGTGGAGAGAGGCGTCATACGTGCTGACAGACTAATATTGCCCATAACAGTGGAAAAGACAAAAGATGACAGAGGCCACACACACGGCCCATACAGCAAAAACATGTCTGGTTCAAGCTGATGGCAGACAGGGCGGCAAAAGAAATCTCCTGTCCGAGCTGGAAACAGTCACACATGCTGAAAAAATATTTGTGGATCAGTGTCTTAGAGGTATATATAAATACACTAACCGGCCACTTTATTAGGTACACCTTACTAGTACCAGGTTGGACCCCCTTTTGCCTTCAGAACTGCCTTAATCCTTTGTGGCATAGATTCAACAAGGTACTGGAAATATTCCTTAGAGATTTTGGTCCATACTAACATGATAGTATCACGCAGTTGCTGCAGAT